GAATCATTTCTGTGGCTTTCTTTTTCCTATTTCTCAAACGCTATACAGAATCTGAATTACCATTAATAAAGTTTTGAACATACACCTCAAATTCTTACTTTGGGAAACTCAAAAATTCACTGTTTTATGAAGCAATTACCTATAGTAATTGTTTCATAACTCACAATTATAAGAGCACCCACTCTTATAATTGCAGTTCCTTCTCTCAAACTCTTTTTTTCCTGTAGTTTCTATTTGAGGAGGTGGCAGAAATATGACATAACCCCCTTTTAGACACTGTTCATAATTATTTTTGGAGGGTTTTATAACTGAATGWATGTGTAGGTCTGGACCTCTTATTCCTGCCACTCACAGGCCCACTGCTTTGGGGTCAGGGTCTCCTTGCACAAAGGCATGTTGGAGCTCTTTCCCAAGGCACAGTTCACTAGCCAGGTGTCTCTGAAGCAATGGCTTCCCTGCCAACTCCACCAGGACTCTCAATTACACACACAGCAGTTAAGACTGGAGTCTTGGCCTCTACCTCCACATGCTTTGCCTCCAGCTCCTTACTGGAGCCTTCCTGGGCGGTAGATGGTACTGTGTTCCACTCCAGCAGCCCAATGGGGACAGAAGCCAGCCTTAGACCTAACCACACAGCTATCTACCCTTAATAGAGCCACTTTCCAAAAATTTTAATTAAAAATTACAAAATGCACTTGAGATATAATTATTATTGGCCACACCACTCTGAAGATCTGTCTCAATGAAGTCATGTGATATTTACACTTGCTTTAACATTTAGGATTCACATAATATATCCTAGATAATGACAAAGCCAAAAATTCCAGAATACAAAAAAGTGGTCACTGCTTCCAAATAACCCAAATTAAAACGAAAAACAAAAAAAATCATTTACCGGGTGGGGTGGAGCACACTGGTAGTTCCAGCATTAAGGAGGCTGAGTGAGGTGGGAAGATCACTTAAGAAAAAGAGTTTAAGATCAGACCAGGCATCATAGTGAGACCTCCATCTCAAAAAAAAAAAAAAAAAAAGCCATCCCTCCAGTATAACACACAACTAACTCCTGAACATACACAATCCTGGATTAAAAATCCTCAATAACTAAATGCTGAAAGTCAGCACCATATTCAAGTCAATCAAAATTCCCAGAGATACTGTAAACCGATTTTTTATTCTCTCAATCTTTCCTTACTTTTTATTCTTATAATTGAACAATGAGAAAAAAGTAAACTGTAACTTAAATTCACAGAGGAAAAACAATTTTATTAGATATCATAGTTAGTGACCTTCACATGACAGCATGATTTTTGAAAAGCAATTAAACTTATTAAACTTGAAACAATTAACATATTAAACTTGAAATTCTGAAGTATGAGGTAAAAATGGTTTAACTGGGGCTCACATTTCTTGATACTAGTTCAAGATACCTTCAGGCATTTAACCATTATGAAAGAACACAGCAAAGTTCATATGTTTTCATTATAAAAGCATAATCACAAATTACATTCATTTTTCAAATGCTCTGACTTCCAGAAGCCTGTAGGCTCTAGAGTCAAGCTGGATAAATACCTGGGTGATTTTGGGCCTGTATTTTCACCCAAAACTAATTATAGCAGGTTTTCAAAAATGTGACTTGAACTGGATCTGTTTAATCAAAGTTTTCCATTACAAATCCTCCTTTGCAAGATAACTTTCTCTAATAATAAATGTCACAGAGAGTTCCCAAGGCATCATGAATAAGTCTCTTTAAAATACAGAACCAGGGGCTGGGGTTGTGGCTCCGTGGCAGAGCGCTTGCCTTGCACATGTGAGGCACGGGGTTCAATCCTCAACACCACATAAAAATGAATAAGCAAAATAAAGATAAAAAAAAATTAAAGAACCAATCACTGGTACCAAACAACTGAAATAGGAAAGAATACAGACTGGGAAATACTGCTTCATCAGGATGGGTGGAAAGATAGATGGTGGCTTAGTCACCTGGGCCCTCATGCACCAACACCACCATTTATGCCAAATACATCCAATGTGCAATGCTAGTACAGAAAGAAAATGAACCCACCAAGGACAGCTCTAACTTTATTATTAATTAACCAAAATGAATGAGTAACAGCTTTAATTTTAAAGACTGCACTCGAATCCATGACTTTTCTTCCTAGAAATCAGCAGACATTTTTTAGTCAACTATAAATGTTCCACCAAATTTGGCTCGGCCATACTGGATTTTCAAAGAGAAGCAAATTTCCATTTCTTATAAGTATTGTCTATATACAGTAACTTATATAAAGCTTTTTAAATCATATAAAGCATAAACCATCTTTATCAGCAAGATCAGCGTCTACCTGCTAAACTGGTAACATATTCCCAAATTCCTTTATTTTCCCCATGAATAGTGTTTGCCTACAACTAGAAGCCATCTCAATAGGTTATCTCTTTTCTGCAAAATTCTGCTCTTAATGACTTTGGGGCACCTAAATCTCAGTTAAGGAGAAAGGCTCGATTTATTTTGATGATACATCCTGATGTCTGTTTAAAAAGTTAATATATCCTAAAAGTGACTTGTAGGTCACTTTGGTCTATTTCCTCTGGTTCAGTTCAAACCAGACAGAAAGGAAAATCTAATTAATTAAACTGAGATTTAGGATATCTAGTTGGAGCCAAACCTGAAAATTATGTGAACTCTCATCAACATTTTATCATTGCTGCTCTATTTTTGAAACCCTTTTGCATTCTCTGTATTTTAAAATATAAAATACTAAATTTTTAAAGCATTCCTTGTGGTCTCAATGACATATATATTGAAAATTTTTTTACTTTACTCAGTGTTCTGGGAAGGATTAATTACGTTTTCCCAAAATTCTTCTCAGAAGTCATAATTTGGCCAGTACACGTGGCAACACATCACTCTTGTGTTCCTCAGCCGTTTCATTGTGATAATGAATTTAGTCTCCAAATGAGAGACTAAAGCTCCTTAAGGAGACAACCTGTGCAAGCTCTATTTTGACTTTCGCACCCCTCTCCCTTCCTCCTTATTAAAAAATCTTAATCCAAATTTGGTTACTTTCAAACTCTCCAGCTCTTGATCTACCCTCTGAATTTCATAGCTTATTCTGATTTTTCTTTTACCTTCAAAGACCATTTTGATGGCCAAAGTCAAAGTCTGTTTGACCATACTATCATTTAGTTTCTAGAAATATTTGTAAACCCCTCCCATCCTCTGACCTGCTGTGCTTTTTCTGCATACCCAAAGAGAAGGTACAGGGGGAAAGCTGAGGCTCTTGGCTGAAAAGATTTGGATCTAAATCATTGTGCTGAACCTCACTGCCAGATGGCCTCAGACAAGCCATTTGATCAAGTATGAGTTTCCACATCAGCAGGGTAACCATAATTTCCTACTAGGCAGGGTTGATGTACGAATTACAGGTTATACTATGCAAACTACCTCACTGAATGTCTACAGCATAAATATTATAGAACTGTATGTGACTATAGTTAGTAAATTACCATTATAACTTCAATTGGGGGATTTATGTTAGCCCTCAGAAACACCACCCTGAGTGTCAGACTGAAGGGCATTACATGCAAGAAGCTTTTGGAGTCCATGCTGAACCCATCACTCCAGATGGTTCTTAGTTTACTATCCTTTATTATCCACAGGCTGAACTCTGACACTAAACTGCTCATTACCTTTTCTTGAGGCTTCTGAACCTTCTGATCTTTAAGCTAAAATTCATCATGCAAAATACACTCTAGATGCTTTGTAACATAACTTCCAAACCAGTATGATCATTATCAAACAGAAATTTCTTAAGCTAAAATCTACATTATGGGCTGGGGTTGTAGCTCAGTGGTTGAGCGCTTGCCTTGCATGTGTGAGGTACTGGGATTGATACTCAGCACCACATACATACATACAAACATACATAAAACATAGATATTGTGTCCATTTACAATTAAAAATATGTTTTAAGAAAAACTTCATTAGATCCTAGGGAGAGGGCAAAAATTTATATTTAGTGGGGCTAACGATGTGATTATAATGGTCTGTGGGTTTTGAAACCACTGTTTTATATGATTGCAGATCTTTCCCCTCTGCAGAGAAACACCTGCAACTAGAAATTACCTGTTCAGCTTCTGATTAACAGCACCTGCTCTGTGAACCACAATTCCTTCCCCTGCTTCCTTCAAGTAATAGTCAATCCCACCCAATGGTTTCACCAAAAACAAAACATACCCAGGACACAGGTAACTCTACAGTCACTAAAGCCTCCGGGTTTCTGCAGGGAAAAAAAAAATTGTTACAAACAACTTCATCTCTCTTTATCAATCAATCACATGTACAGATTTCACAGGCAAAAATTCTCCCCAAATGCCAAGAGCAATATTTGCCTGTGGATCACTGAAACCTAATTAACAGGCCAGGGAGCCCCACTACTGACTTGTATTCAATTGGCAGATCACAAAGACTGTCTTCAATTGTGGACTATGGAAAACAATTAAGGCACTAGAAGGCAGTCCCTTTCTTTGTCACTGCTCTCCCACATGCCACAATACTTGAGCTTCCCTGGAAAATGTCAATCTTATGCAAAGCACTACTCAAAGAACCAATTTAAGTACCTTGGCACCATGAAATACACAATGTATGTCACTAAATTTCCCTATCCCTTTTGTCCTAATTTCAAGGTTCTTTTCCCTACACACCAGTCCATCTTGACAACTGTCAAGACTTCAGTCTGCCTTAAACACCACTCTGCCCTAAACACATCAAGCTTTGCTGCATAGAGAGTATTCAATGGAAAGGGCACCAAGCCAAAGTTACCAATTCTAACTGAAAAAAAAAAAAAATGAGATTGGGATTATAATCCTTTGGAAGCAAGCATACAGCTCGGCAAGCAGTTACAGGATGCCACCAAGGATAACTTCTCCACCTGTGCGAAGAACCACAGAGAAGCAGGCATCTATAGAAGTTCACAGAATAAAATAAATCCAAGTTTTCTCACCTGTCTGAGTCCCTTCGGCATTTTCTTTCTCTTCCCAAGGTGCTGGCAGAGATTACGGTCATTTTCTCGGTCTGAGCTGTAGTGGTGTGGGTGGCTGAGTCTGCTCTTCTTTGAATGAAAAGATAAGCCATTGGTAAGTGCTTCTCGTTTCTTCTTGGTCAAGGGAGTCTGGCGTTTCTCCACACGTTCCTGAGGCTTAAGTGCTACATCTTTCTGTAGGGGGGGGAAAAAAGGGAGGAAAGGGAAGCGATGGTTATGTATGTATCTAGGGCCATATCCAAAATAAAGGTTAAATAAAATTACTAGAAAAGGTGATGGGGACAGAAAAATAGAATATAATAACCTAAAACTGAGAAACATGGCTCTCTTTTCAGAGTCCCTGATGCTATCACAAATATACCCTTTCTAATCTTCTTGGACAGAAAACTTAATAAAGCACAAAGTACTTGTTCATTGAAAGTGATTTCACTGGTGCCTTTGTTTCATTCTGTGCTGGATCAGCACATAATGACATTTCCGTAAGAAGCTCAATATTCTTACTTTTCAAGTGACTCTTCAATGACTGTATGTTTCAAAGACGAATACTAAGTACATGCCCAGTTCAAAAGAAAAGGCACAAGACTGAACATATCAGAGCCAACAAGAAGAAAACTATCAATTCATATAATTAGAATGTTTCCATAATGCATTATATTTTTATCACATGTTCATCTCAACATCCTTACTTTCCACCGTCTTTGCAAAATGTAAATGACAATATAATCACAAAGATCAACAGCAACAACTTTGTATTTATCCTTATGGGTAATCAATGTCCTCTAACAGGAATTGCCCAGTGCAGAATCTGAAGCCCACATGACCTGATAAACAGATGTCCCTACAGGCAGCTCACAATATACTGAGAATATCAGAAGGCCTGGGCTCAGTCAAGACGCTAGCACCATTCATTTCAAGCCTTGAAGTCAGTCACTAAAATTCTGAGCTCATGTGCAAAACTTACAGAACCTCAGATCACCTGATATATGCCATATGAACCCTAAGAAATGAGATACAATTCTTAAACTGACAATGTTSTTTCATGGAGTCTCCTTCCCACATTTTCTCAGTTTCTGTGGTCCTAATGGCACACTGAAAAATAAAATAAAACCAAAATAAAGCTGAGTGTGGTTGCGCACACCTATAATCCAGCTACTCAAGAGGCTGAGGAAGGAGGTTTCCAAGTTCAAGGCCAGCCCCAGCAACTTAAGGAGACCCTTGTCTCAAAATAAAAATTTTAAAAAGGTTTGTAGAGGGGGATAACTCAGTGGTTCAGCATTTTCCTAGCATGTGTGTGTTCAGTCACCAGTACTACCAAAAATAAAGTTAAAAAAATTATTTCTACCTATTTTTCCATCTCAAAATTTCACTCTTTCCTCCCTTTGAAATTTAATACCCACATACTAAATATATCACTGCAACTGTAATGATAACCCAAAAGGAAAGGCAAAAGGTATTAAAACTGGGGGAAATGATCTAGACCAGGGCAGAGGGTTAGGGTCAACAAGATGACCTAGTCTGAAAGGCTGAGCACAGACAACTTGGGCAAAGGCCTTGAAGCAGCTGATAGCATAATGTGTCTGAAAAAAAGGTTAAAAGTGGCAGGAAGTAAGCAGTGGACCTCAGCAATCCCAGTGTTTCATCAAAGAAGTGTTTTACATAAGCCAGGTAAAATAATTGGTGGTCAATATATACTTATTTAATGCATAAGTAAACGACTAGTTAAAACATCCAAACCTATAAAGTACAGTAGTGATTAAGCACAATAAAGATAAAATATAATAGTGATTTTAAAAAATACTAAACTGCTTATAATACACCAAAGCAAGCTATGAAAGCTTGATAGTGCCAGTAGGCACTGTATATTGTCATTTACATTTTGCAAAAGTAAGGATGTTGAGATGAACATGTGATAAAAATATAATGCAATATGCAAATATTAAGAAACCCCAGAAACGAGGAAAGGCCTATATGTGGGGGTAAGAAATAAAATTAAAACGTCCACTAAGGCAAGTGAGTGGCTTTGGGTCTAACCTCTAGCTCTTAGATGATCTGTCCTATGCTATTTGAGAGGTAGCTGTCCTGAGGCAATGTGGATGTAGTGAGCAATGTTTCAGAGGACAAGCTGCAATCAATGCAAGTGCAATGGTCACTGACTGCATAGTCTCAGATCTTACACACTATACCTAACACATGAAAATATTCAATTAATGTCTGCTAAATAGAATTCCTTTGTCCAGCATCTACTACCCAAATAAGTTATGTTAAACACCTGCTTAGCTCAAAATATTTTCTGTGTTTAATCTCACATTTAAACAAAAGAGTTACCTCTCATGAAAAGATACTGAGGAATAACAACAACAACAGAAGGAGGCAGACGAGTTACATTGTGAGTTGCTCATTTATAATACAATTAAATTGGACTACTTCTAAAGGAAATACAAAAACTACCTACAGGGTTTAAAAAAAGGGGGGCGGGGAAAAACCCTCTTTTCATTGTCATCAACCCACCTACTGCCCTGAATCTTTTTCTTGTAGCATAACAGATTAATAAACAAATAATAAGTTAGTGTGGTCATGCACACCTGTAATCCCTGCAGCTTGAGAGGCTGAGGCAGGAGGATAGAGAGTTCAAAGCCAGCCTCAGCAACTTAGTGAGTTCCTCAGAAACTCAGTGAGATCCTGTCTCTAAATAAAATACAAAACAGGGCTAGGGATGTGGGTCAGTGGTCAAGTGCCCCTGAGTTCAATCCCCGGGAACCGAAACACACACACACACACACACACACACACACACACACACACACACACAAAATATTTAATAAGGTATCAACTGTGCTTTTTAAAACATTATGCCCATCTCATTAGAGATCAAATCTTTTATCATACTGAAGGTGCCTTAAAAGTATATTGAAAATTATGAGCAATTCATACAAATGTGAATTAATATTTATGAGATTATATTATAATTTTTTCCAAATTCATTTTTTTTCACATAGCATATTAATCAGGGCATGCTTACTGCCCTGCAGAATAGCTACAGAGAGCAAATGGATCCCATGCCGTGACATTAGCTTGTAAGAGACCTGCCAACATCTCAGCAACAGCAGTAAAATCATCTTAGTTTCAATTAGTATTGAGATTTTTCCCACTCTGGAGAGGGGGAGATTAGTGTTTATATAGAGGTGGTGACTTGAGAGATACAAAAAAAATGAATAGTCATGAAAGGATTTTTAATAGTTAAGAGGCTTGTATTTTCAAAGAGTAGAGATTATCTTAATTTTTAAAAGATACATATCCATTTATAAGTTACTGAATAGACAATATTAGTACTTTGGAACAATTCCTGCATAAACCAGGCCATCCCATCATTTGTTCACTCCGAGTCTCTAAACAGTTTTTGACTGCTTCTGAAGTATATAGTAAAATAATCATTTGTTTCCTTTGACTGTCTCAGTGGGAAAAAATGACCAAAAAACTGTCCCATATAAGCAATAAAACTCAAAAGATAAACCAGGCATCATGGCACACACCTATGATAGCAGCAACTTGAGCAACTTAAGGCAGGAGGATCACAAGATTGAGGCCAGCCTCAGTAACTTATTGAGACCCTGTCTCTAAATAAAAAGTGAAAAGGGCTGGGGGGTATAGCTCAGTGGTACAGCACTACTGGGTTTAATCACCAACTCTTGAGTGGGGAAAAAAATCAAACACACAAAGATTAGTTATTAAAGTAAATTAACAACCTATCAATGTTCAGAACAGTTATACAGTGATTTTATAAGTATGTACACGCACACACGCGCGCGCGCGCGCGCACACACACACACACACACACACACACACACACACACACACACCCCTACCATCAATCAAGTAGTGGTATTTAAGAATTTCCCTAAAGAAACTTGGACAGAACTAGTAAAATACAGGGAGGAAATATGTACATTTCATAAAATAGCTTTTTGGGATCAATGAATAGCAATTTCAAAGCCTATTGATCCATTAGTTTATAATGGTATAGGCTAGTGGTTCCCAAGGGAAACCCCACCTGTAGTACTTTCTGATAATAAGACAACTACACTTCATATTATTCAAGGAAAGCATTTTGCAAATGAAGAGTGACAGAATATGCCACCAGAAAAAAATGCCCCTTGTTTAAGGATTATTTTAAGTTAAGGTCACTTAAAAAAGAATAGACACAAAAGGAATACTCTGCCTTTGCTGCCCCAGGAAAAAGGCAGCATCTCCACCAGGATCCATAAAAGAGAGAAACCCCAAGGAAGGAGAGAGGACATCTTCCTATTAGAAGCCATGGGGCACTAACCCATCTCCCTGAAATAATTCTTCCCTTCCTCTGGCCTCCCCACACATTTTCGCTACTTTTCTATGTAAGGCCATTCCAATTCAATCTTCTTAATAAGAATTTACATTGTGTCATTTTGAGGTTATTTTCCTTTCAGGTGGGATCAACATACCTGCAAAAATATGTACACTTCTTTCTTACTAATCTATTTAGGGTCAATTTAATTCCTAGGCCTAGCCAGAGCCCTTAAGAACACAGAGTCAAAAATCTGCCTGTACTAAACAGTATTGGACTAGAGAGGGTAAGAGGCCACACAGGTAAGAAACAGATCTGGAAAAGTGCTTGAAGGTATTAATTTGACAATCACAGAAGCAGCCAGGAAAAAAAGCAAGAAAACCAGTCCATTGCCTGCTAGGTGAAAAGATTTAGACACTTTTGCTGACAATAGAGGGGGTAAGTGTACAAGCCATGCACCACAGATGGGAATAAGTTTCATGAATGGTTGGAATTATTTGATTTTTAGGTCACTGGTGATGGAGGGGCAGGTCACAGCAGCACATCCACTGAGAGGCTCAGAGTCTGACTAACCAAAGCAATTTCCTTCAACATCAGCCCTCTTCAAAACAGGTGATCTTGCTCTTGATTTTCCCTTCTCCCAAATTACTATCCTCTACTAAAGACTTCCTCTGCCACTCTTGAATTTCAAAATGAGATGGTTCAGTGTTGTGCAAACTAGGAGAGAGCAACAAATTGCAGATGAAGGCTGCAGGACTCCACTGGCTGATTACAGATGAAGACACAGGCAACGAAAATGAGGACAAATTTGCCTGCATTGCATGAAACAGGTTTTAGAAAGAAGTCTCCATTTGATTTTTCCAACCAAACTAAATAGGGGGTGACCATCATTTACAAAGCATCTGTGCTATGTGTGTCTGCTGCACATTCACATGTGTGAGAGAGGGATGCAATTTAAACATGTCTTGAGTTATTTGATCTTGGGAACTTACAAATAAAATAACAAATAAGCCAGGAGAAAAAGGAAAACTGCTCTGCCTGTCACCACCAAATGACAATAATGGTTGTGTGCTGTCATTTTAGTCTGTTGGGGCCTTTGTTGGTTCATTGTGCAGCATTTATACCTGTTTTTGAATGATTTTTACAAACACTGATTC